GCCACCTATATGAACGTATCATTTGGATCTCATAGGGAGAAGCAGCACATGCCTGAAGCCCCATCAACTGTTCCAAACTGTTGATAACCACAGGAGCTGAGAAGACCCCAAGCACTGTTCTCTTTCATTTGATTCTACAGGCAGAAATCAGATATATTTTTAAATGACCATATATGGTCAAACAATGCCAGGCAAAAGAGCCAATACAAACATTTTGGGGACTCTGACATTCCTTTCAAAATCACATTTGTTCAAAAAAGCTTTAGGTTGCTGAGAAATTTCACTCTTAGCTACTGCTGAACAGGCTTTAGCTTTAGCTTTTACTGTTCACACAATGGGCTTCATCAAGTTATTTCTCTCCCTTTTTCTTGTTTCCCCCACAAAGGAATAGACTAAGACTTGTGGCTCCCAAAAGACTCATGTCCTAGAATAGATTCTGAAATTTTCATTAACAAAACATTTATTTTGTATATCTAGCATTCTGTATTCTCTCTGTATAATACTTTGCAGTGTAGCTGGCATCTATCAGAAAAAACAAACTGTCAGAATGGTGTTTATGCAAAAATATCCCCACAAAAATTAGTGACTTGTGCACACATTATGCATCACTGTAATGCACTGTTCCATATTTTACGTTTAAGGAGGACAGCCGGGTATGGTGGCATATGCCTGTATTCCCAGCACTTGGGAGGCTGAGGCAGGAGGATTGTGGCAAGTTCCAGACCAGCCTGGGCTACAAAGTGAGCTCAAAGCCAGCTTGAACTGCATAGTGAGACCCTGTCTCAGAAAGATAAATAAAGTTGGGCGTGGTGGCACACGCCTGTAACCCCGGCACTTGGGAGGCTGAGGCAGGAGGATCGTTGTGAGTTCGAGACCAGCTGGGGTTACAAAGTGAGCTCAAGGCCAACCTGATGCACAGGGAGACCCTGTGTCAAAAAGACAAACAAAACAAAACAAAACAAAATAAAACAAAACAAAACCAGAAAGATAAATAAATAAATAGATAAACAAATGGAAGACAAATAGTGACTAATACAGTTGTAGCACTGCACTCTTCACCCTTAGAAGTACCAGGCCGTTGCTTAATATCTACTATGGAATATCTACAAAATAAATTTGTTAAAGAAGTGCGATAATTTGGGTTCTATCTGTATTTCTAATGGGTTCAATGATTTTAAAATGCTAAAGCTTAGACATTTGATAGGAGAAGTGTTGGAAGGGAAAATATTTTCCCTCTACTTTTTGGCCAACCTTCATCATTCATTCCATGTCTCTTCCTGTTTCACTTAGGGTCTTCAGTCACAGCCGACAGAAATAAATTCTAGCTGATAGATGCAGAAAACAAATGAGCTGACACTGTATTCGGTAGCTCACAGTCTGGATGGGAAATTTAAAGGAGACTTGGGCAAGGGGAGAGACCAAAGGTAAGCTACCAGGCTGAAAGAGTTCTCCACAGTGCAAGTGTCTGACACTTTCCAACTTTTACAACGGGATGTGGCTGTACTTCTCACTATTGTTTATAATGTGGGAATTTTCTAAAGATAGGAAGGGAAAAGGGGTTCACAAGTTTTTAGAAAAAAAGGCAAATGCCAAAAAAAGAGACCAAAGTCTGTCTTCCTAACTGCACAAAGCCCCCATGTCTAGCATCCTGATTTTCTTCTTTTCTTTGAATGTTGCCATACCTGTCCTTAAACCCCCAATATTGAGTAAACACCACTGCTTATCATGGACCTCAGGCACACTTGAAAACCGCAGAGGAAGTACAATTGGTCACGAGTCTTTGATCTTGTCCTATTAAGTTGCATCATCACAATGACTCTGAGCTCATCTCTAGAGATGATCTCTTACCTTGTAGAAATTGAATATTCTATGCATGTAGTCACAGGATTCTAGTAAAGAGCTCTGCTTGGGAATCATGTACCAGTCTTCCCTATTTTCCACAGTCCTTTAACAAACTACTCCATCCTCCTGAAAGCCCACATCTATCCCCATCAATTTCAACTAATGATGATTCCTTCAACTGGGAAAACCAGGGCAACAGATGCCAACTCACCAACTACTCTCTATCACGACTTCAACTCAAAATTTCTTCTTGTCATAACCCGCCCCATCCTTATGCCCTGTTTCATTCTGCCTTCTTTCCTGGGCTGAACTGGCAGTGACCCTAACCTCAGTGCCTGCATGCTAACTCAGGAGTTTGCCTACTACTTACCTTCCCTTTTACTGTGTCCTTGGCTTCACTTTCCTCATACGATGGCCCTCTGACCCAAAAACATTCAAGTCTCACTTGACCTACAAGCCCTTCTGCTAGGCTCTGCTTCCCACAGTCTCCTTCCTGTTTCCCACCTTCACTATTTATAGCCAGAGATCTGACAGGAGGAGCTGTACACTAAGAGGATCCTTCCCCACCTCTAATTCCTTTCTTAACGTTCCTGAGTACTTTCCAGCTCGCCTCTGGACACAGTACATGAGTGCCCTCCAGAGTGCCCTGCCTTCCTCTTTGCTGAAGCCAATGGCCTCTTCTTAGTCTGTATCCTCCTTGGCCACTGAGATGCTGGTGACCCTGCTGATACTCCCTGTGCCCCTGTTATGGCTTGTGTTACAACTTCTCCTGATTTTTCTATCGACTTCTCAGATGACCCTATCAGACTCCTTTGCTGAGCTTTCTCCCTTCCTGCTATATTTTCTCATCCTGACCATTTTCAGTTCTTTAGCTGGAATTGTTAAGAAGATGCCAGTGAGATATGTGACCTGACCCTGTTTCTTCTATTCTGAAGTTCAGATCCTTCCAACTGATCACCTTAAAAGGGTGCTCAGACTCCTTTTCCTTCCCTATCTTCCCTTCCATCACTGCTGTTAACATTTTATGTGGCTATAGAAATAGTACACAAAATACACTACTGTAATCACTTCTAAGTGTGGAGTTTAGTGACATTAACTACATTTATATTGTTGTGCTTCATCATTCCTTTTCGATACCTATAGGGGGAAAGGACCACTTCTTGTACACTTGTTTGTTACTGGAGCCTAGTGCAATCCATGACACCAACTGAGCATGGTGCTTAGTAGCTGAAAACAGGGGCTCCGCAGGGTTTGCTTTGAGTTTAAATCCCAGATCTACGCCTTTGGCTGAACTGCCAGCCTCCCTGGTTTTGGTTTTCATCTTGGTCGTCTCTGCTTTTGTTGATTACACAGTCACTCTATAGAATCAATAACAGCTTTATTTGTGAGCAGCCCTACCAGTAATTTGTCCTAGGGGAGTTAGGGCTGGAAATAAAGAAAAATGAAGCATTTGAAGAAAGTGATGGGTCTTAACCAGAAAGTAGAAGTTTCTGACCTACCAGACTAGGAAGTCAAAGTGGGCACTGGCTTGGCTGTGTGATGCAAACAGCTGCACCCACATCCACTGTAGAGAAGGGTCTCAGGGCTGAGGAAACGGTGCTTCCGTCCTCGGCCTGCGTGGTGACTGTTCGCCAAAAAACAGCTAAAACTGCAGTGAAAGTTGAAAGGGCAATTTAGTTGAGTGGAAAGAATTTGATATTTGGGGAAATTTGATGCACACATCTTTTAAAATACTGTCTTCAATCATGCATTTATAGAATTATGAATTGAAAAAGGCCACATTTGTTTTTTGCGGTGGAGTTGCTTTTATTTTATTTTGTGGAGGAAAGTTTGCTTATGCATGTTGGGAATTCTAGCAGGTCCATCCTATATGTTCAGAGGTGTTTTGTTTGTTCTTAGCATTCATTTTCTTCTGAATCAGACTTTACTCACCTCTCGTATCCTACCCAGCAACAATCATAAAAGATTCACTTAAAAGTATGGTATCTTATTTGGATAAAGAACAGGTGAAGTGTTTCAGTGACCAGATCCTACTTTATCCTTCTGTGACAGTATAGGAGTAAAGAGCCCTGAGGTTTCAGACGCGGGGTCACAGCCCTATCATCAGCGGCAGATGTCTGCAGCATCTTTTATAAAGCATCTTCATATACTGTATCTCATTCGCTGGTAAGGCCACTTGTGTGAGGTAACTTCGGTGATCCTCCTTTTTTTTCAGCTGAGGAAACTGAGATTCAGAGAGGCTGGATGTATTGCCCAGGGTCTCACAGCAGATTATAAATTACCGAGCCCTGGGAAGGTGCCCAGGACTAAAGCACTCAGCTGTCTAAGCCACATCTGGCCTCACCAAACAGTGGCCTACTTGAGACATAACCTGCCCTCAGGTCACTTTCTGTTTGAGGAGCCTGCCAACTGAAGCACGTGGTCCGGGCAAGCCCTTCCCTGATCGCAGTGTCTTCATGTGGAGCCCAGCATCTGGCATGAGCTAGAAGGTGTTCAGGACGTGCAGTGGCCGCAGCCCGCCTTTCAGGGCACGCCAGAAGCCCCTCCACCGGCATTTGTTTGGTACAGGCGCCACCTCACTCTGCTTGGGCTCCAGCGCGCGTGGCCACTAAGGAGGCTCGCCAGCCGTGCGCCCTTAGGTTCGCCCAGTGCCCGCGCCCCAGGTGCCCAAGACGTGCGCGTCCCCTATCCGCATCTGCGATCCCTCCCCAGCTTCCCTTGCCCTCCCGGGAGCCGGGTGCCGCGGCTGCGGGTCCCCCACACCCCAGGGGCGGAGCGTGGCGCCGAGACGTCAGGGCGGAGGACGAGCGCGGGCGAGCGCGCCCTCCCAGCGGCTGCCCGCGGCCC